GATTTACTGTTATGCAGACTACTGCATTAGTGTAAAAAATGGTATAAATAATATCGGCGTACTTGTGAAAGAATATTAGACTCACCAGCTGACATATATTGGACGCTTAGCATGATATATTTACTTTTGAACTTTGGTAAAAATCGAACATTTCTGCTACTTTGAGCTCAATTTCAAGGTACTTTTCATTGTAAAATCAGTCAAAATCATCTCAATTTCTGTAATATGTCTTCCATTCTATAGAATGAGACCAGGAAAACTAGAATACAACAATAAATGCCATACGAAAATACAGTGCAAAGTCGCTGTTTTAATCCAAAAACACAAAGTTTTTTTTTCTCATTATGCACTGTGTGCTGTAGGATTTTTTTTTATACTGCGCACACTGACCACATAGACCCATTCTTTCATATGTAGGCCTACCAGCTTTCTCTCACTAGATTTGAGGGCGCTAGAATTTAGGCGTACTAGTACGTCAAAAACCCTGGTGCGTAAGCCGTACTAGCACGGCCGAAACCCTGAAAGGGTTAAGAATAAGACGGAGAGTAGCATAACAGATGAACAAAGAGGCTTCAGGAAAGGTAGGGGGTGTGTAGACTAAGTGTTTGCATATGGGTGTGCAGTATTTAGATAAAGGTAAAGAGGCTTTTGTGGCATTTATGGATTTGGAAAAGGTATATGACAGGGTGGACAGGGATGCAATGTGGCAGATGTTGCAAGTGTATGGTATAGGAGGTAGGTTACTGAAAGCAGTGAAGAGTTTTCACGAGGATAGTGAGGCTCACGTTAGAGTATGTAGGAGAGAGGGAGATTATTTCCCAGTAAAAGTAGGCCTTAGACAATGATGTGTGATGTCACTGGCTGTTCAATATATTTATATATGGGGTTGTAAGAGAAGTGAATGTGAGGGTCTTGGAAAGAGGTGTGGAGTTAAATGATAAAGAATCAAACACAAAGTGGGAGCTGTCACAGTTGCTCTTTGCTGATGACACTGTGTTTTTGGGAGATTCTGAAGAGAAGTTGCAGAGGTTGGTGGATGAATTTGGCAGGGTATGTAAGAGAAGAAAATTAAAAGTGAATATAGGAAAGAGTAAGGTTATGAGGATAACAAAAAGATTAGGTGATGAAAGATAGGATATCAGACTGGAGGGAGAGATATCAGATTGGAGGAGGTGAATGTATTCAGATACTTAGGAGTGGATGTGTCAGCAGATGGGTCTATGAAGGATGAGGTGAATCATAGAATTGATGAGGGGAAAAGGGTGAGTGGTGAACTTAGGAGTCTGTGGATACAAAGAACTTTGCCTGTGGAAGCAAAGAGAGGAATGTATGAGAGTATAGTTGTACCAACACTTGTATGGGTGATGAATGTTGCAACGAGGAGAAGGCTGGAGGCAGTGGAGATACCGTGTCTGAGGGCAATGTGTGGTGTGAATATAATGCAGATAATTCACAGTTTGCAAATTAGGAAAAGGAGTGGGATTATCACAACTATTATCCAAAGGGCTTAGGAGGGGCTGTTGAGGTGGTTCGGTCATGTAGAGAGAATGGAACAAAACAGAATGACTTCAAGAGTGTATAAATCTGTAGTGGAGGGAAGGTGGGGTAGGAGTCGGCCTAGAAAGAGTTGGAGGGAGGTTTTAATACTTGACGTGCTGTTGGAGTGTGAGCAACAACATTTATGAAGGGATTCAGGGAAACCAGCAGGCCGGACTTGAGTCCTGGAGATGGGAAGTACAGTGTCTACACTCTGAAGGAGGGGTGTTAATGTTGCAATTTTATAACTGTAGTGTAAAGTACCCCTCTGGCAAGACAGTGATGGAGTGAATGATGATGAAAGTTTTTCTTTTTCGGGCCACCCTGCCTTGGTGGGAATCGGCCGATGTGTTAATAAAAAAAAAAAATATTCACCCAAAATGTAGGTCGGTCTCCTGACTCGGGAAAAAAAATTTTGAGAAAATTGCTTTTGTTTCAGTATTTTCCTTATGAAACTAGTGATCTTGTGCACTTAGCCTCACGAACGCTCTTGTTTTCTCTTATAACACCTCAGAAGGGCAAGAATGGGAAGATATGGTCAGAGCGATAATTATTTTTTCCTTGGGAGTGGCCGCCACCACTCATCACATAATGATATACGTATTTTATTCATTCTAGAGTATATATCATGTTTCTATGTTATTTATATTGTTTATTATATCATATTAGATCAATTGTGATAGATAAATAAGTCGTAGAGTTTATATTAACATTATTGTTTTTTTTGGGGGGGCTAGAACGGATTAATGGCATTTCAATTAATTTCAACGAGGAAAATTGATCTGATATACGTACGAGCAAATTGAGTTATGAGCTTGGTCACAGAACAAATTAAACTTGTAAGTCAAGGTACCACTGTATTTCATTCCCATAATTTAATCCCACCCATCTCTCTAACACCTTAGCATTTACTTCTTTTACAACCCCATCTATAAAAATGTTAAACCGTAATATTCCATATCTAATTAAATTTTTCACTAAAAATAGATACCCAGTATTTGATGTTCAGTACTTCTCATTTTCACTTACAAATAATATTAAATAATGTTTACTTAATGTATAGGTTAATTAAATAGAAAAGAGCTATAATACCAGCATATACAGTACATAAAGTAAGTCCTCACTTAATGTCATTGATAGGTTCTTGGAAAGTGCGACATTAAGCAAAATGACGCACATGTATAACGAAACCAATTTTACCATAAGCTAATTGATATAACCAAGATTTAAGTTCCTACAGCATATTTCTGGTCACAAAAATATCGCCAAACTTCTAAATAAAGAACCAAAACACCATGTTTTTTTCTTTAGATCTTCAAATAAAGCTTTCATTGGTATGGCCATTAGCAAACATGGAGAGTTACACCAATAAATGTCCTCCATCCAGATATTTAAGTCTTTCCACATTTTCCATTATGCTGTTTCTTATTCCGAGTTAATTCTGAGCACTACTGCAAATTGTTTGTACAGTTGTTGGTGGTAAACCAAGAGCTATTCCAATATCCACACCTCACTGTCCATCATCGAACCTCTATAAAATTTCTAGTTTTGTTTCTAATGCCATACCTTTTCTCTGTTTTTTGTGGCCACAGATGCAGTGTAAACACCCTTTCGGAAGACAGTGATGGAGTGAAAATTTTGGTGAAATTTTTCTTTTTCGGGCCCCCCTGCCCCGGTGGGAATCGGCCCCGGGGGTGATAATAATAAAAATAAAAAGATTCAGGGTGCCCCACGCACCTTAATACTTTTTGCAACAAGGTTAAAACAAGGGAAAAAATGTTTGCAAGGCGAAAATTGTAAGGAGAGCACCTCCTTCCCCAGGCATCTACTCCTTGTAGCATTTACAAAGGGCCCGCATATCATCCCCCTTGTGGTCATCCTTATAGGCCTCACCATTATGTACCACTTCTTGGGTAGCCCTCACGACTGTATACCGCCTCTGTCAAAATCTATTCCCGATCCTGGGCTTGGCTCCTCCTACCATTTGACCTGGGTACCCCTGTCAATAAACACACTAAGTAGCTCTGTTTGCTTCCTTCGCTCTCATTGAAAAGCACTTTTACAACCCAATCTTCATCTACTATGGTAAAAGCTGAACTGAATAAACACCAACTATATTAGTGTTAAAAGGTGCACAACCATCTGTCAACACTGTTTCAGTCACAGAATAGTGATTGGCAACTTTACTTTAAGCATGCAAGTAACAGAACTGCCTGGATTAGAATATAATGTTGACCTTATAATTACAAATACAGTAGGACCCCAATATCCGTGGGGGATATGTTCCAAGGACCTGCTGTGGATACTGAAACCACAGATAGTAGCAAACCCTATATGTAAGTCCTATACATACCTATAATAAAGTTTAATTGATAAATTATGCACAATATGTGGACACATCACTTTTTCATTGATTGGAAGCTCTTCACAGCTTCTTGTAGGCTTTGAAAAACTGCCAGCTTTTCTACTTTTGCACTTTGGGGCCATTATTATGCAAAATTAAGAGGTATTTTGGGGCCACAGTAAACCATGGGTAACTGAAACTGTGGATACTGAATCAGTGGATACAGTGGTTTTACTGTATTCACTTTTTTTTATTTTTTTTTTCAACAAACTGGCCGTATCCCACCAAGGCAGGGTGGCCCAAAAAGAAAAAAGAAAGTTTCTCTTTTTAAATTTAGTAATTTATACAGGAGAAGGGGTTACTAGGCCCTTGCTCCCAGCATTTTAGTTGCCTCTTACAACATGCATGGCTTACAGAGGAAGAATTCTGTTCCACTTCCCCATGGAGATAAGAGGAAATAAACAAGAACTAGAAAGAAAATAGAAGAAAACCCAGAGGGGTGTGTATATATATGCTTGTACATGTATATGTAGTCTGACCTAAGTGTAAGTAGAAGTAGCAAGACATACCTGAAATCCTGCATGTTTATGAGAAAGAAAAAAGGGCACCAGCAATCCTACCATCATGTAAAACAATTACAGGCTTTCGTTTTACACTCACTTGGCAGGGCGGTAGTACCTCCCTGGGCAGTTGCTGTCTATCAACCTACTACCTACCCTTTTTTTTTATATCCTCTAAAATCTATTCTGAAATTCTGAAACCAATATTTCATGCAAATGATAGTCCTATTATCTCCTTGCCTTTTTTTCAGTTAACTGCTGTAATACCACCTTAGTATGCAACAAAATGATGCCATAATATCTAATGTTTGTCATAAAAATTTGAAAACATCAATGAAAAGCTGCCATTAACCCTTAAACTGTCCAAGCAGATCTATGTTCACATGCGTAGTGCTCCAAAGGTAGATCTACGTTTTTTTACATATTTTCAAATATAACAAAAAAAAAATAAAGTAGATCAAAGTCTTTTTACACATTTTCAAATGTAAAAAAAAAAAGATCAACTTTTTTACATACTTTCAAATGTTGAAAAAACGTAGATCTACGTTTGGACAGTTTAAGGGTTAAATGGTGTACATGCAAGTACTGAAATCCTCTAAAAATTTAGGGAATGAATAAAGGTATATAAAATCCACAATATTCTCACCTTTGAAAAAATCAGCTACTATAGCTCTGTCACTAGTAGTAGCATAGAGCAGATATCCTGATCTTTTTAATTTCTGAAAGAAAATGTTACATTATTAAGAGGTTATCAAATATACTTTATTTTTCTTAAGCTTTATATTAAAAATAATGAGAACAGATAATATATTATTGTATTTTATGAGATATTTATTTATTTTTTTTAACAAGTCGGCCGTCTCCCACTGAGGCAGGGTGACCCAAAAAGAAAGAAAATCCCCAAAAAGAAAATACTTTCCTCACCATTCAACACTTTCACCTCACTCACACATAATTACTGTTTTTGCAGAGGAGCTCAGAATAGAACAGTTTAGAAGCATATACGTATAAAGATACACAACATATCCCTCCAAACTGCCAATATCCCAAACTCCTCTTTTAAAGTGCAGGCATTGTAATTTCCCATTTCCAGGACTCAAGTCTGGCTATATAAAAATAACCGGTTTCCCTGAATCCCTTCACTAAATATTACCCTACTCACACTCCAACAGCTCGTCAGGTCTCAAATACCGTTTATCTCCATTCACTCCTATTTAACATGCTCATGCACGCTTCCTGGAAGTCCAAGCCCCTCACCCACAAAACCTCCTTTATGCCCTCCCATTAAGATAATATAATCATGCAGCAGATCAGTTTATGAAGAATATTATTTACAAGCTTTGTGTGTTTCCTCAAGTTGTTCACAATAAAATCACTTAAATATAATACATTTCTCCATCAATCATATTGCCAGTTTTTCTTTCCCATTAATCACTTCTTTTATTGTACATTTATCCATTATGCTTGAGAATTCTTACCTTCATATTCTTTTTCATAATTAGTTTTACAGTGAAACCTTAGAAAATTAAAGCATCTTATGGTATTCAGGCAGCAAACTTTGACATACCTTATGTGACAAGGTATCCATTTCCCTTGTAGCTGATCTTGCAAGTGCTACATGCACATTTTTTTAATTTATTGCACTAGTCATACCTAAAAGTTAAATAAGATGATGCTTTGCATGCACAACATTCATAGTTACTATAATCAAGCTCCACTGCACTGGTAAACATGCAACGAAGTTAATTGTTTTTCCTGGTGATATGTCAGTTGATTGTTTCAGTGATGGTTTCCCTAACATGTACTATCTTTAAAATTTGGAAACTTGTTACATCATTGCTGTAAATATAAGAACATAAGAAAGAAGGAACACTGCAGCAGGCCTACTGACCCATGCGAAGCAGGTCCATGTCTCCCCCCGGATTAGCCCAATGACCCACCCAGTCAGGTCACCTCCACTTAAGGAAGGAGCACTGTATCGGACTTAGTAGCACAAGCTAGTCAGGTCCAACTCACACCCACCCACGCCCAGAAAAAAAGCCCAGTAAAGGTCATATGTATAATTTAAGTTTATGAGTATTAAAGTTAAAGAGACTGAAAGACAAGTACAACACTGCATATCTGTTCCAAAGCCTCTTGCAGTTTTGGTGTGGTTTAATAAAATACTGGAAAGAATAAATGGGAAACAAAAATCTGAAACAAGAAGACTGCAGACAAACACTAAAGAAAATGTGACAAAGCAGTGGAGATAAAGAATATGAGAGAATGGAGTATCACCTGAGAAACAGCTTAGAGATGTACTAAGATACACATGAATGAAAAATATTCTGAAAAGACTGATCTACAGTAGTAAATATTTACAGTATCTCAAATAACAGAATTAAAAAAAAAAAAAAAAGCATGAATTGATGTATGAAGTCATCTTCAATTATTCAGTAAATTCTCTTTTTTGGGCAATTTTGCTACTGCATATTCAAAAGTGTTTAAAAATGAGTAAGTAATGCAAAGAATTTGGGTACATAAAATCATAAATTTTTAAAAAATTAGCAATGCATGTCAGTTACATATATACGTAACTCATATGTATTGCACAATCCTTCAAACTGCCTGCTATATAACTAAATGGCCATGCATGGCAGCCCCAGGTTTGACCCCACCTTCCTTCTCAGCTTGGGCCTGTTGGGCTAGAGCAAGCCACCTACATTTGTTTTCTGGGATCATCATCTTATCTCTTTTACAAATGATGCAAGAAGCAAGATGCGACGACTTTGAGGATTTGTAAAAGGTACAAATAAAAAATTACAATTGACCCTTGAACAATATGGTTTTGAATTGCGCAGGTCCATTTATGTGTGAATTTTTTTCAATAAATATACTGTAAACCTTTTTGGAGATTTGCAACAATTTGAAAAAACTCGTAGATTACCTATGTAGCCTAGAAATATAGAAAAAATTAAGAAAATGTTAGGTGTCATGAATGCATGAAATATACAGTATGTAGATACTAGTCTATTTTATCATTTACTACCATAAAATATTACAAATCTGTTATAAAAAGTTTAAATTTATCAAAACTTACACACACAAACACTTGAAGATCATACATGGCACCATTCGCAGTCACGAGAAATGTAAACAAACGTAAAGATACAATATTAAATCATAACTGCATAAGATTAACTGTAGTACTACTGTAATAATTATGTAGGCACCTGTTGCTATAGAGGCGAGTTAATCATCTCTGCATGAGCAGTTTCTCTCTCCTGTAAATTGCATATCACAGTAAAAAAATGATCTTTTGTAGTTCTCATGTATATTTCATCATGTTTAGTGCAATACCATGAACTTTGAATAGCACCAAGGGACCCATATGAAGTGCCATTAGTGATGCTGGAAGTGCTCTCAAGAAGCAGAGAGGGGTCACGACAGTACAATAAAAAGTTGAATTGTTTAATATGTACCGTAGACTGAGGTCTGCAGCTGCGACTGCCCACTATTTCAGATAAATGAATCCAGTGTAAGGACCATTGTAAAAAAAAAAAAAAAAAAAAAAAAAAAGTGAAGCCATCGCTGCAGTTATGTCAGTGGGTGCGAAAACCTCGCACTTTTTCTGAAATACCTTTTTATCTCGTATTGAAAATGCAGCCTTTATGTGGGTGTAGGATTGCTATAAGAAAGGCATACCTATAGAATCTAATATGATTCGAGAAAAAGCAATCATTATATGACAACTTTAAGCAAAATGAAGGTGAAGGATCTAAAGCTGGAAAATTTAATGCCAGCAAGGGATGGTTTGATAATTTTAGAAAGAGATTTGGCTTAAAAAATGTCAGGTTTACAAGAGAAGCAGCTTCTGATGACCAAGAGGCAGCAGACGACAAATGATTCATCTTGTAAACAGACAACGTAAACTCATGGTATCAATATATACAGTACAGTACTGTAAATGTATTTTCTCTTCCTTATGATTTCCTTAATATTTTCTTTTCTGTAGCTTACTTTATTGTAAGAATACAGTATATAATACATATAACATATACTACAAAATAAGTGCTAACTGACTGTTTATGTTATCAGTAAGGCTTCCAGTCAACAGTAGGCTATTAGTAGTTAAGTTATTGGGGAGTCAATGGTTACACAAGAATTTCAGAGACTGCATGGGGGGGAATGTGATGATCAGCACCCCTAACCTCTATGTTGTTCAAGAGTCAACTGTACAAGAGAAAGATAAAAAACAACAGCATATGATTTGTTGGATTTGGCAAATTCCCAGATAAAACTGAAGCAAGGAGAGGAAAAGGAACCTGAAGAAGAGAAAGAGTAAACACTGGAACAGTCATTTAAGAATTCCTTGAGAATAATCCTAAAATAAATAGAAGCCTCACTGTCAGTCAAACTCTTAAGTAAGCAATGATGCCACATCAGTTCTATAAAGTACAGTAGTCCCCTCATATCCGCAAGTGATATGTTTCAAGACCTACCACAAGTCCTGTTTAAATGTGCAACATTATTTTTAGCACACCAGCTGACACCCACCAAGTTATGGTGATGTGAAAAAGAAAAAAACATTTTCCCAATCACTAACTCCATCAGTCTTGGCAGAGGTGTGCTGACATTACAGTTCATATACCTCTCCAAAGTGCAATATCCCCACCCCTATGGTGTGCAACCCTGTACTTCCCACCTCTAGGACTCAAGTCCGGCTAACTGGTAGCAAAACATAAAAGCCACAAAGGCAAAATCTATTAAGAGGGAGGCAAATCAATTACAAAAATTCCAGTTGCTTTTAAAATAAGTGATAATGTATAACACTGTAAAGTAAGTGTTAAGATAAAGAAGTGTGTAGCTTCATTTGACCAGAAAAATCTGGATGACACTAGGTGTGTTAAGTAAGTTCATTTGAAAATACCTTTTAAAGATCAACTGAATACCACTGTGTGTATTAAAAATTCACACATAATGTACAGTGTATTGAATTACATGTATAAATAAAAAATGCAAAAAATAATTTGTAAGAGAAAAAACACATACACTTTTAGAATGATTGAACCATCCCATCTTCATCATTTTCTTAATTCTTCCTGGTTGTTGTGTGACCACAATTGCAGAAGTGCTACATAGCTTAGGTGTTAAGAGCAACGTATTTTTAAAGTTTTGGCATGATTTGTTTGGTTGCAAAACACTTTCTTGATATCCGAGTCGATGTGCACACACAGAGCTACGTGAAAAGTGGTAATTTACTTGTTGTTCACTATTGCATATCTTTTTCAGTCTTGATGTTAGATGAATTATTTTACTTCTTCCATTCATTGCAACCTAAAATTAAAAAAAAATTAATGTTTTTTGTTCATATACATGTACAGTACATGTAAACCCAAGCATAGTAATTCAGAGTGAAACTAGACTGGTAAAACATATCCTAATTGAGGTAACAATCATAGCATTTGAAAGGAAAAAGCACTTAAAGGAAGAGGCAGTAAGCAAGGGCAAAGTTGGCACTTTGGAAGAGAAATAGTACTGCACTAGTTAATGAATAAAAAATTAAAAAACTCAAATAATGTAGAAATTTTAGCGCTAAGTGACAGTATATATCAGTATATAACATACATGTATATTAAATAAATAAATAAAACTCAAGCATAACACCTGAACTCTTACCAAAATATAAACAGTTATGTGTATAATTTTTTTAATTAATTAACCCTTTGAGGGTTTCGGACGTACTAGTACGGCTTACGACCCAGGGTTTTTGACGTACTAGTACGCCTAAATTCTAGCGCCCTCAAATCTAGTGGGAGAAAGCTGGTAGGCCTTCATATGAAAGAATGGGTCTATGTGGTCAGTGTGCACAGTCTAAAAAAAATCCTGCAGCACACAGTGCATAATGAGAAAAAAAACCTTTGACCATTTTTTTGGAATAAAACAGCGACTTTGCACTGTATTTTCGTATGGTATTTATTGTTGTATTCTAGTTTTCTTGGTCTCATTTTATAGAATGGAAGACATATTACAGAAATTGAGATGATTTTGACTGGTTTTACAATGAAAGGTACCTTGAAATTGAGCTCAAAGTAGCAGAAATGTTCGATTTTTACCAAATTTCAAAAGTAAACAAATCGTGCCAAGCGTGCAATACACGTCAACTGGTGAGTCTAATATTCTTTCACAAGTGCGCCAATAATATTTATACCATTTTTTACACTAATGCAGTAGTCTGCATAACAGTAAATCTTATATTTTTTCTGAGAATAAAAATTCAAAGCGGAAAGCAAAAGAATATAAGAGGGGCCTTGAGACATGACTAATGACCAGAGGAAATGTCATTTTAGTGCCAGGAATGTCTTTCTTGTTTATTCTGGACCCTATTCGGAAATTGGCATCTATTGAAATTTGTGTGAAATTGGCAAAATTGCTAAATTCTGACCACTGTACTGGATAGTTGAATTTCATAAATGGGTGGTTTCTTGCACCCATTCGATAGAAAAAATGGAGTTTTAGCGAAATATTCATGTTTTTTGTCGACTAGTACAGTGGAATTGGCCGAAAATGGGGCTCAAAGTGGGCAAAATCGCCGATGCGTAAACATTGCCGAGACCGCTAACTTTGTGAGAGCATAATTCCGTAAGTTTTCCATCAAATTTCAAACTTTTGGTGTCTTTATGATCGGGAAAAGATTCTTTATCTTTTCACAAGAGAAAATAATTTTTTTTTTTTTTTAAATTTGGCCGACCCTGAGAACGAGTTTCGGAAAGGGCCTGTCGACCCTCAAAGGGTTAAGAGTGAAAAGATTTAACTTGATTTATGAAAAGGAATAAATATTTATTGAACATGTTTGCAAATGATTCATACACTATCTTACATAAATTTCAAAAATTTATTATAATTTTAACATTTAATAGAATCTGGATACATTAAATTGATCACAATAAAAAAAAAATTAATAGTACAGTGGAACCTCAAATATTGAACTTCCTTCGTTTCAGACGGCTGTTTGAGTGCCGTTACTGAACGAATTTATTCCCATCAGGAATAATGTAAATTAGATTAGTTCATTTCAGACCCTCAAAATTACACTTATAAAAGCACTTACAAAAATACACTTACATAATTGGTTGAGTTGGGAGCAGTTCGATATTTGAAGTTCCACTGTATTAGAATATGATGCTGATAAGCTTCAGTGGGATATGGCCAGTTTGTTGAAAGATGATGATACAGTGGAACCTCGTTTTTCAGCCTTAATCCGTTCCAGAAGGTCAGCCTAAATTCGAAATGGCCTAAATACGAAGCAATATTTCCCATAAGAATTAATATTAATACAATTAATCTGTTCCAGACACCCAAAAATATTCACAAAAAATACATTTTTTACAGATTAATTATAGTTTTGCATACACAAAGCAATGAGAACTAAATAAAATAAATAAACATAACTAAACATACCTTTATTGAAGACTCTTCTTGGCTTATGGCTTATGGAGAGAGGGAGGACTGATTATTGTTTGGAAGGGGAATCCCCCCCCCCCATAAGGACTTCAGGTATCAAAGTCCTCTCTGGGGTTACTTCCCTCTCTGCCTGCTACACTCCCTGCATGCCTGCTACACTCCCTGCCTCCCTTCCACACTCCCTGTTTCCCTGCTAAACTCCCTGCTACACTCCCTGCTTGCCTGCTACACTCCCTGCCTGCCTACTGGCTACACAGCAGTTGGATATGCTGAATGTTGAAGACAGAGTAAAACAACTGAAGCTAAATCATGTTTATAAAATTGCTCACGAACAGTGTCCAGAATATCTTGCTGTCAATTTTGTCAAGGTTGGGAACCGCAGCAATCATAGTACTAGGGGGAGAGAGCACAACTTTGTAGTACCCACAGTCAGTGGCCAGGCTTCAAACACCTTTTATTGTACAGCAATAAAGGAATGGAACAGACTACCCACAAATGTCAAGGCCAGTCATAGCTTGAACCAGTTCAAGAAGACTGCCAAAAAGTGTCTGATGAATGAGCAACAGAAAGGGAGGGGAATGATTTTCTATTTTTTAGCTAAAATACGTGTAAATTTTACCTTATCCCTAGTAATGACCCTCGTATTGTAGATAGTCGTAATGACCCTCGGGTAGTAGATAGTCTTAATGACCCTCGTATTGTAGATAGTCTTAATGACACTCGTGTAGTAGATAGTCTTTTTAGTATGATAATAAGATGTTATCTTCATTATAGAATAATAAAGAAAATATTATAACCTTTATATTATAATAATAAGGTAAAAGGACCCCAATGGAAATAAGTCACTCTGTCTGACTTTTTTGGGTTATCCTAGGTTCTCTACACATATGCTGCTATGTATGATAATTCTATGTAACTGTATTGTGTATACCTGAATAAATTTACTTACTTACTTACTTACTCCCTGCCTCCCTTCCACACTCATTTCCCTGCTACACTCCCTGTTTCCTTGCTACACTCCCCACATGCCTGCTACACTCCCTGTCTCCATGCTACACTCCCTGCCTGCCTGCTACACTCCCTGTTCCCCTGCTACACTCCCTGCCCATGGTGGCTTATTTCACAGTCGCACTTAATAAACAAGCCACATCAGCTTCCTTGATTTGTTCTTTCTTTGCCATGACAGAAGTGATTGTTGATTTGTTTTTGCCACACATCCCATGGTGACTTATTTCACAGTTGCACTTAATCTAATATGGCCGATATACGAGGCAACAGCCGAAATGCGGAGCAAAATTTCTGCCGAAAAACTGGCCTAAATACAAATCGGCGATAAACGCAATGGCTGAAAAAACGAGGTTCCACTGTACTGATAAATGCCACATAATAGAAATGGATGAAAATACAGACAGTAGTAATTTTTTATAAAATTTCGAGATTATAAAAAAGGATTATAAACTACAGGTTATCAATAAAAAATCATTTAAATGCAGTGAAAAACTTACTATGTTATACATTGCTGGTGAAAGTTTACTTTTTCCTGGATGTGAATTTACCAATAATTTTTTGAGCTACAATGTTTGAAATTGAAGTGGGTAGACAATGGAGACATTTATTTTGTGCACATGTAAAAAGTAGTAAAAAACTTAGCATAACATACACACACACACAAACACACATAAGCGACCAGTGAAGAGGCAGGGCCAGGAGCTTGGACTCAACCCCTGCAACCTCAACTAGGTGAGTACAAACTAGGTGAGTACACAGTCATTGTAACACAACCTAAGACCCTTGTAGGTTTAGTGCTTCTTTTTGATTATGATCATAATAATAATAACATAACCTAAACAAAATCAAATTATTAGGCAAGATGAAGCCACTGTGTGGCGAAACGTTTCCTCAATAAAGATACCCAAGAGTTGCACATGTGTCTAATTTATCAAAATCAAATTACTAAAAAATAGTAATTCAACTATAGTATTCGCTGCTGAGGGAGAAAAGCATGTGTAATTGTATTGTGGAAGAAGTGAAAGATAGTGCAGTGGTCAGGAGTCAACCAGTAACCCAGTGACCTCGAGTTACTGTGTCATATGACTTTCTAAAAGTATTATGGCTAACAGCTCAATAAATAATAATTTGCACAAGAAATTACCGTCTCCCATGGTATGGATAGTATTTTATTTTGTATTTTTATATTATAAGTTTATACCTAGTTGTATTTAAGCTCATTCTAGCTCAATACATAGACAACACCAAATTCATTATAGTATTAGCCCTTAGTGCAATTACAAGAGTGAGTCTGGTGCCATTTGTAATTTGTTTTTTTTATATTATTAGTTTATACCTAGTTGTACTTTAGCTCATTCTAGCACAACACATAGACAATATCAACTTCATTATGTTTATTTGTGACTATACTCTATATGACCAAAGTGCTTTAGCTATATACTTGTCCAAACCTCCCACCACTACAGAAATCAGTATTAGAACTCGCCACATAATACAGGATATAAATAACCGCTATTTAAACCTAAAAGATGAATGATCACATTGACCCTGATCTAAACCTCCATAATCTAACACACAATCAAAACTTACTGGAAAGTAACTGCCTTTATTACACAGCATCACAAGCCTGCACTATCCTGAACACTGCTCAGAGTCTATCAGTTCTTAACTACAACATCAGGTCCTTAAGCAAACACTATGATGACCTCCTGGCACTCTTTAAGTCACTAAAGACACCCTTTTGCATTATTCTTACTGAGACCTGGCTTAAGCAGGACACAATAGATATCTACCCACTACCAGGATACACAGCAATCCACAACTGCAGACCATACCAAGTTGGGGGTGGTACTGCAATCTATTACTCTAACCAACTATCTTGCATTAGCACCAATTGCTTTAGTGATGAATATGGGGAATACATTTTTGCTAATTTTACTGTAAAAAACCTCAAGACGCCTATAACAATCGGTGCCATTTACCGGATACCCCACACAAACATCCCAAACTTCAGTGAGAATCTCAAGATGCTAATAACAAACAGACAAATGAACAAGCACCACCTTCTCTTAGCTGGAGACTTCAATATCAACCTTAGCCTACCAGATGATCAGACTGTAACTGATTTCATCAACAATATGAACAACACACTTCTCATACCAACAATAACTAAACCAACCAGGCTGACTGAGAAAAGTGCAACCATAATAGACCACATATGGACCAATATACTAGCCCCCTTAAATCAGGGATAATTACAGACAGCACTACTGACCACTACCCAACCTTCCTCTTAACAAACATTAGTAAGCCACCACTCGAACACAACAAAGTTTCATTTAGACTCCATGACGAGGCCTCAATAAGGAATTTCACAGCAGACCTAGAGACTGTTGACTGGCCTACAGAATTCTCCAATGCCAATGGTATTGACGATTGGACAGACATTTTTCTTAACAAAATACTTAGACTATACAACAAACATTGTCCTATAAAAACAAAACAGATCACAAATAAACGGCTCAGTTGCCCATGGCTAACCAGCAGCATTCTGAAATCCATTGATAAGAAACACCAATAAGAAAAGCAATATAGACAGGGCTTAATACACAAAGATATTCTTAAACACTATTCATCAGTTCTCACCAAATTAATAAAGAAAGCCAAACAACTGTACTACTCCAGCAGATTCACTGACACAAGAGGAGATACAAAAAGACCTGGAAAACACTTTCCCAGATTCTGGGGACCCACAAACTGAAAAAAACAAGAATATTGTCCTAACTAAACCTCATGAAACACCACTGCATCCCACTGATACAGCTAACAAGATAAATGACTTCTTCTCAAACATAGGATCTAATCTCCCCAGTAAAATCCCACGTACCAATGCCCGTGCCAGGGACTACCTAGATGGGAATTTCCCAAATTCCTTCTATCTTGTACCAACTGAGTTCACGGAAGTCACCGCGATCATAAAGTCACTTAAATATAACTCGGGGACTCTGTCTCATGTCCCACCATTATTGTACAAGCAAGCGGCCCATGTCCTTTCGCATGCTATTACATAACTTTTTAACAAGTCACTAGAAACTAGCACTTTCCCGACACTACTCAAGACAGCAAGGGTTACACCAATACATAAAGGAGGTGACCCTACAGACGTAAACAACTATAGGCCAATATCAAACTTACCATTGCTATCCAAAATCTTCGAGAAACTCGTGCACAGGAGACTGTATTCATTTATATAACATCACAAAACATACTCAACCCCTGCCAATTTGGATTCAGGAAAAATAAAGGCACTAATGATGCAATTATAAAAATGCTAGACCTGCTTTACACAGCATTGGAAAATAAGGAATATCTGCTAGGAATTTTTATTGACCTAAGAAAAGCGTTTGACACAGTAGACCACGGCATCCTACTCCACAAACTTGACCACTATGGTATAAGAGGCCATGCACTTGCATATTTTAAATCCTACCTTTCTAATAGGTATCAGTATGTCACCATTAAAGACACAGCCTCATCAATACGGCCACTTGATACTGGAGTTCCGCAGGGAAGTGTCCTTGGACCCCTGCTCTTCCTCATTTACATCAGTGATCTTCCAAACATATCACAACACCTGAAACCCATTCTCTTTGCTGACGACACGACTTATGTCATCTCCCACCCTAATCTTGCCACGCTGAACACCATTGTTAACGAGGAGCTGATCAAAATATCGACTTGGATGACAGCCAATGAACTTACACTTAACACTGGCAAAACCTACTATATTATGTTTGGTAACAGAGCAGGTGTTGCGCAACTTAACATTAAGATCGACAACACTAATTGCCAGACATAATGAG